GAGAGAGAGAGAGAGGTGTATACAAGAATAAAGACCCTAAATCACACAATAGTGAATACTTCTGATGAAGATGGAAACTTAAGGACAGCTTTTTTGTTTCTGTAAACATTTCAGTACTTCCTGACTTTGAAATATAGTCGTAGTCATCTCTTTCATAGTTTATTTGCTTGGTTTTATTCTTTACATTTTACCTTTTAAACAAGGCAAGGAATATCAAGTATATTTTAAAACTTTGCTATAGGTAATGAAGCTTATGTAGCAAAAATTCAGTTCCATTGAAAGTGACTAGGCAAAAGAATAATATATTCACATTTTAAAGATATGTTTATTTGACTTTGTGTATGTGTATAAGTCTGCATGAGTAAATGTGTGCCACATGCATATAGGAGATCACAGAGGCCCCCAAAGGTGCCATATTCCATGAAACTGGAGTTATAGATGGCTGTGAGCTCTATGTGGGGTCTGGGAAACAAACCCAGGTCCTCTGCGAGGGCAGCAATGCTCTTATCTACTAAGCCATTTCTCCCACCTCTACATCCTTACTTTGTAATCGATTATATTATTGTATATTAAGTATGACTCATGTCTAATACACTTGCTAATCCGGAACTCAATCGTTCTCTCATTTATTTTCTCTCTGTGTTCATGTAAGCCTCATGTAGGCAGGAATTAGTAATATGGTAATAAATGTTTAACAGTGATTCTATAGACATAATAAAAGTTTCATTTGTAGTGTTTTCAGGTTCTGGTCATGTGAATGTTCTTTCCATGACTGATTTCAAGCTACCAAAATGATGCCACTACATGCCAAATTGGTAAAAGTTGCACCTGTTTGGCTTTGATGAACTGGCCCCAACATGCCACGGAGGGAAACTTCTCGGGACTTTTTCCATTTTCTCTCTCTGCACTAAATCATAGTGCTTAGCACATGGTGAGTGCTCAATAAACAGCAGTTTACCTCTTGACTGAAAAGGAATAAACAACATAAGCCCAGAGATATACCAATGTTGAATGAATGCAATAATTTAGTCTGAGAAAAATATTTAAAATTCTCAAAGTCAAATAATGTTGACCATTGGAAATACTGAAAGACCCTCTGTTAATAATCAAAAAACTTTGAGAGAATGAGAAGGTGTATTAAGTCATTGTTCTTTGTGACTAAAAGGGTTTCATTGTATATCTATACTACAACTTCTTTATGCGATCATCTGTTGATGGACAGCTGAAATATGAAATCATACATTAGCAGATTAGGTGAGAGTAGAAGGGCAATTGTCTATGGATGACAAAGGGGATAAGTCAGAGAGGGAAGGATAGGAAAGAACAAAATAGAACAAAATAGCTCAAAGTAATAATATACTTTCATGTAAAGAACCTTATGGAGCCTGATCAGACAACATTTTAAAAATAAAATTTTAAAAATGACAAAAGCTTTTAAAAATTAAAACAAAGCAAATATAGATAGCTGAAGTTAGACTGTAAGATGATCCTGGGTCACCGTCAATCAATCCTGTCATGCTGATCTCAAAGAAGAAAAGACAGCAGTGAGCCAAGCATCAGTATATACATGCTACTTTGTCTAATCATCACGATAATCTCAGGACATAGGCCTCCCCATTTTACAGATGGGGAAACTAAGAGTCATAAACTCCAAGCAACTCTCCCAAGACAGTAAGGATGGGATATAGCTTTTATGATTTTATTTTGCTTACTTTTAAGTGACACATTAACACACAAAATTATACATGCTTGTGGGATACCCAGCGATGGTTTTACACGTTTACCTTCTACAATGTCTTAAACATTATAGCTCTTAGCAGATAACTAACATAAATAATCTGTCATTTAATAATGATAATATTTTTTAAAAAAAAACCTTTCTTCTGCCTTTTTTAAAAACATACTACAGCTGGGTGTTGGTGGCACACACCTTTAATCCTAGCACTTGGGAGGCAGGGGCAGGTGCATCTCTGTGAGTTCAAGGCCAGCCTGGTCTCCAGAGCGAGTGCCAGGATAGGCTCCAAAGCCACAGAGAAACCCTGTCTCTAAAAAACAAACAAAAAATACTACAGCATGTTATCTATAGTCATCCTATTATGTAATTTCTTAATCCTATCAAGCGGACTAAGTTTCATTTATAGCTAGGGTTTAGACCCAAGTTTGCCTAACTCCTCACTATGGTCTCTTCCTGCTATACCAGCTGCCTTCACAAATACCATTAGAAGAGTATTTTTAATTGGGGTTTTGCTTATCAGAGACATGGGGCTAATTATCTCACCTCCTATCATTCTTTGCATTCTTTAGTTATATAGGTTCAGCCTATGCACTTGAAAATTGGGAGTAGAAATACATCCAAGCAGGCTTTTTAGAAAAATAAGCTCTGTACTCTTTGTTGTAGCTATTTCCTTGTCTAAAGCAGAGTGCAGGCTGCCTAGCAACCAAGCTAATGGCGTCTTTTTTGCATCAATTATCTTATGTTTTGCACAAGCTCAAAGGAATTGAATCAAATGCATAGAGTGCAAGGTCTGAGTTTTTTATATCAATATATCTGTTCATATATATGCACACCACACACACACACACACACACACACACACACACACACACACACAGATACATACGTACCTCTTCTCTCAATCCGATGACTATTGGAGAATGATGGCTTCTCAGACTATATTTATGTGATGCTGTATCATTGGCTTCAAAGGTACAAAAATTAACAGTCTGATCATTTGTGTATAACTACAACATAAAAAGACTGGTCTGAGCAACTCCCTTAGCAATTTAAGGGAGTCCTGTAGTTCCTGACTACATTCAACAGTTGTTTTCAGGTGTGCGTATCCCCTAAAAGAGAGCCTTCAAATAGACATAGCTGCAGTGATGCAGAACAAATCCAGTACTGTCAGGATTTTCATGAGTTTGTTTTCTTACAAGAAAAACAATCTGAGAAATCTTTGCTATCAAGGCAGGGC